GCGCAGGCAGCATCAGGGAGAGAAGGCATCGCCAGGTCGACGAGAGACACAAAGTGCAAGAGGTGCAGGTGGCGTGGCAAGAGGAAGAAACGGAAGCGGAGGTGGTGGATTATTACGAACGCGTTGCGTTGCCGTTGTTGCTGTCGCCGTCGAGAGAACTCCTCGCCGGTATTGTCGTTGTCGCCGCAACCACCGCAGCAGCCGCGACTGTCGCAGTCGCTGCCGTCTCGGTCGGCCGTGGTACGTTGGTCCAGGGGAACTTCTAAGGGCCCCGCCAACCTGGGCCGCTCAGGCAGGCACCTGGGCGACTGGTCCGGGATACGCACGAGCGGGGCTGACATCATCGAACAGCGGGGATATAACCCCGGTAAATGGTCGCTCGCCGACAGAGCAACGAAGTGGACGACGACGTGGATTATCGTGGCGCGAGTTTGCTTATTATCGCGGAGACGATCAGGGACGTGTACGAAAAAAGAAACGGAAACGAAAGGAGAGCGGAGATCACCCGTCCAGGAAGGCATTGACGTGTATCGCTGCACGGAAAGGGAAAGTGAGGAAAATCTGGTACGAGTTATCAAGTGGTGGAAGAATATCTCCGATATATCTCCGAAGGAACACTTGGAAGCGAAATCGCCTGAGCGATCACGTTGCGCAGCGTTCCTCAGCGCGTCGTGTCTCAGCAGACGTACCGGAAATAACGGTAGCAGCTGCAGAAGCAACGTCGTGGGTCGCGTCGCGAACGGCGTTCGGGGAGCAGAGTCACGAAGAGTCGAGTGTCGGAGAGCAGAGCGCGTGCCGAGAGGCGGGCCTCAGATTTGGTGGCAGCGATGCGGGGCCTCCTGCAGCAGCCCGGCTGCGATACGGATCATCTACGCCACGAGTCCATCGCGAGTCATCTATTTCGTCATCAGTCGACGTGCACGATATCGAGGAAAAGGAGGCAGCGGAAAGATCAATCAGTTCTGGTGGAGGAAGGCGAAGCACATCGCATCGTACAGTTACGAACGTGCACGTCAAGGAACGTCGACGAGGAGGTGCGCGACGACGACGGCAGGACGTCGGGGACGTTAGCGTCCCCGATTATCCCGTCGCGCCCATGCTGCTCGACTCGTTCGGACTCACGGGACCACCTACGTCGAAAAAATGGAGAAAAGAGAAGAAATGGGTGCAGAAAAAGGAGAAGAAGCAGAAGCTCTGGTTATCGTCGTCGTCGTCGTTGTCGTCGACCTCGTTCGTGGAGTGCGTACGGTCCGGTTGTCATTCGTATACGTCGTCGAAATCGTTCTCCAGGTCGATTCGCGATCGCGTCATCGACGACGTTGGCATATCCACCGCCGCGCAATACCATCACGAAGCCCGACACTTCCAAACCGGGCACGGACCCGATGAGAAAGCCGGAACTGCCACTGCCTTTCGCATCTCTCGCGATTCCGCTTCGCACGGCGTGGTGCGCGCGCGCACATGTGATCGCCACGAGGATCACGAGGACGATAATGAGAGCGACGCGTTGCGCGCGCGGACGCGCATACTTGGCGCTGATTGTCCGTCGCCGCGACGACGGACACCGCGAACAGCAAGAAGAAGGTCAAGAAGAAGACGAGGGAACGGAGCGATCTCCGAGGAAGAGCCCAATGTGGCTACCTCGGCCGTTTCTTTCGTCGACGTGCATGCTTACACTGCCTATAGCGATGACAGAGACGACGATGACGATGGAGAAAACGACGGTGACGACGACGATGACAACGAGGGACATTGCGAGCGAAAGAGAATCCACAGTGATGGGTCCAAGAAGGACCACGACGAATACGAGGAAGATGGAAGCAATGACAGCGCGCATGTTAGTGTCTCGGATAATCCGCGCGATGAATACAAACATGAAAACGAGTCTCGCGAGAACTACATCCACACCGAGGGGAATACGAGTAGTGGTGTATCTAAGAGTGATCAGTGGGCATCGCAATCTTCTTCGTTTAATTGGAAGAGGGATCGCGAACGTGTCGATGGCTACGGACGCGAGTACCTGACAGTGGACGAGGTGTTCGATGGACAAGGACGAAGAAAAGGAGAATGGTATAGTGAGAGGAGATGTAGCGATAACACTGCCTGGTTCCAAAAGCCAATTACTAGGAGAAAAGGAAGAGGCGAAGGAGGAGGAAGAGAAGGAAGAGGAAGAGGAGACAAGCCGCATATACGCAGGAGCTACTACAGGTTGCTGCTGTTCGTGTTATATCTTCTGGCGTGGCCTCTATTGTGCTCGAGCAGTCCCTTAGGTCACCTCGCTTCGACTTTCGCGCAGAACCCGACCCTCGCGCACACCAAGAATCCCGCACAACGGGGTAACACTACGCCGCCGGACATGTTGTTCTCGTCGTCGACGGTCATCGAGCACCAATACAAGCATTCGCAACAATACGTTCAGGGTAGCGATTACAATACCGATAGCGAGCGTCATCGTCATCATCAGCAACAGCAACAGCAGCAGCAACAGCAACAGTCGGATCAAGAGAAGCCCGACGAACAGCGGCACCCCTACAACGAATACACTTGGGAGGTGAACCAAATGAATCCCTGGTTGTCGGCCTGCGATCTGGCGGGACCAGCGCCGACCGATCTTCAGGGTAGCTGCGGAGCACCTCCACCGGAGGTGCCCAAGTACTGCCCGAAGCTGTGCAAAAACGCTTCCGAGATAATGAAGACCTATAATATGAAGATAAATAGGGGGGTCGAGGACGGAGGCGAGAGCGGCAGTCAACATGGCGATAAATATAGCACCGATGAAAAGAAGGAGGAGAAGGAACAGTGCCTTTTATATCTCGAGGAATCGCACAAGAAGATCATCTGTCAAATGAAGAAGAATAATCCAAGTGATCTGCTGCTTCGGCTGCGTCTACGGCACTGCTGCGAGCACGCGGTGTTCAACGCCCTGGCGCCGGGCAAGGGCGGTCCGCTTGAGGACGTGCTAAACGGCGGCAAGAAGTGCGATGATGCCTTGGACAAGCTGTTGCTCGTTGATGCCCTGGCCGCGAGGCTGCATTGCGAGTTCGAGGAGGTACTGGCGCGCTACGATTGCGCCCAGCCGTACTCCGTCATCCACAACTGCACCCATTGCAAGGTAAAAGGCCAATTTCTACATATTCATGATGTGTGTGTGTGTGTGTGTGTGTGTGTGTGTGTGCGTGCGTGTGTGTATATGTGTGCGCGCGCGCGCTCGTGTGTGTGTGTGTGTGTGTGTGTGTGTGTGTGTGAGAGATCAGAATCGTTATTTATTAGACGCTCTGAAATATCCTCTAAAGCGTATATGCATTTCTACATAAAAGAGCGAATAGCAAAATTGATCGTAGCCATAGTAATCGTAGCCATAGATACAATAAACAATAATAGAAATAAACATAAAAATAAGAGAGAAAAAGAGAGAGAAATTTTGAAATTTCACATAAATTGCTTTGTCAATTTAAATTGGCATTGACAGCTATGTATAAAGGCATTAAAACGAAACGCGCAATATTACTGAATTTAAATGTTTGACAGTTTTAGGATTCCTTGCACAAATTCAAATAGAAAATATTCTCTGTATTTTCATATTTCATATTTCATATTTCATAAACATTAATTTTGTAAATTTGAAAATATGTGAATATTAAATATATTATTTGTACACACATTTATTATATTTATTACACATGATAATGTTTTAAAGAAAATTATTGCGTTCTGTGGAAAGTCATAAATTTTGTCATGAATAATTTGCAACGTTTTTCATGCTTGAAAGTTTGAAGTTCAAGTCTGTTGTATTTTGTAAAAAGTTGACAGAAAAAAATATATGATATGTATTTTGGACAGGAATTGAGATATTAATTACTTTTATCTATCATTAGTAATTTAATAAACTTATGATAACCTTTATTTCCGTTATACGTAAAATATCCTATGTCCCATTATAACTTGTATGAACAATGCTTTGAATTTCTGCCCAGAATACAGCTTTGTAGTTATTATTATATAGATGTACAAGTTATATATTTTAAACCTATTGAAAGACACATGTTTGGTATTTGTGACTATAATTACATGGTAAAAATTATGGTTAGCAGCTCTATATTTACAGTTATTATTATAATGTTAATAATAATAATACAATTTTATATACCAAAAAAAATACGTAATATAATTATAATTCATAGTCATTTTCGGTGCCAATTATGCATTTTTTTTGTAAGAACTACATACTTAAATATATTAAGTGAAAACTTAATGGACCGAGAAATATTCAACACAAATAAATGAAAAGGCGGATCTTGATGTAATAATAATATTTTTCTGTGAATTTTCTAGTTCCACGAAAACTGCGCACTAATTATTATCTGTCAGTTTTGAAACACAATTCTAGACTGAAATTAGAATACGTAATATCATAAAATTAAATTGACAAGCAATTTAATATTACAAATGCTAATAAGCATCTAAAAATATCTACATAATTTATTGCAAAAAAATATCACTCAAATTCTTTGAATCCCAGTTGAGACTTTTTTCACAATAAATTCTTTTGTTTTAAAGATACTTATTAACATTTGTAATATTAAATTGCTCGTCGATTTAATTTATGATATATAAATATAAATGTCATTACTAATATTATAGCAATTATAAAAATTATAATAATTACAAAAATGGAACTCCTAATTATTATTATTGTACCATACAATTAATCCTGAATACCAAACACTTCTCTCTCAATGTGTAGTTTCGAAAAATCTTGTTACTATTGCATCAGTTATATTCATATTTTGCCGAAATTTACAATCGATATCGTTAGTGCCATTTTCGTAATACACCTCTCGTATGCAGTTACTTGTGAATAATTAAACGATTAAGAGGCGTCAATCCGTTCATTGATTAGAACGCAAAGGAGTTTCGCGCGACTCGCAACATTCGGCGTGAACGAAATTATTGGAAATTCTCGCGGTGTGTTTCCGGGAGTTCATATTATGTTCGTGTCTAATGTAGGGCATAGTAAATTTACTCGCAGTATTTCTCCATGAGATCTCTTCGCAGAGAGAAAGAGAGAGATACAGTAGACGGCTTTGCAGTGCTTTACGCCATTCACCGTTCAAGCGAACGCGTAAATTATGCGAGGCATTACATATTATAATTTGATATAAGGCATTCAGTTGAGATTAGAAATCCCGCGGAGAGATTCCTCAGGCTCTCTGCTCGTCTCTCCGAGAGATTTCTCGCCGCGAGCGTCTCTAAACGTACCAGATCTTCCTCGTCTCTTTAGACATATAAATCTGGAAATGCGCAAAGTCACAAGCAGTCACGCGGTTAACTTACAACCGTGACATGAATACTTACAACTGCTATATTTGGAGGGCAACCCATATTCTCAAACACGCGCGGATTTAAGAGGGTCCAAAAGAGAAGATCCGAGATTTTCTCTATCCTTAGATTTATAGATATATAGCTAGTGGCTATAAATGTCATTCCGTGGCGTCCAATTGTAGCGAGACGAATTATTCGAGTCTGTCGATAGACATCCCGGTATCTACGACAGACAGGACTAATTTCTAGATGATGAATGGTAAATCGTGGGCGGTTTGCCTTAGAAAGTGAAGTATTTTGTCGTTGTCGTTGTCGTCCTCATCATCGTCTCCGTCGTCGAATGAGTTAACGAACAAGTGTTTCTCTCTCGTTTGACCGATAACACCCGCGCATAAATTGCTCGTTTAGTAACTCGTGGTCCGGTTCATTCAACAACCATCGAAACTATTTCCAACCGACAGTATGTCCGTCTTTCTTCGATTCTCGCGTTGTTCCCGTTATCATTGTCTATACGAGAGCTGCAGAGTTCACGCGACAATTCCACAATGAGGCAATAACACGAGAGTGCATTATGTGCATGGTTTACACGAAGTTGCATCAGAAGAGTCACCGAGTGTGGATTTAATAGGAGGCTACAACTTTTTTAGCAATCGTTTAGTTTTGTTTCTACATTTTCTTATCCTTCTTCAAGGAAACCAAAAATTATCATAATAATGATGCTACACCTAAGAAAAAAATTAATACTTGAAATAAAGAATAAAATCTTTATTCAAATCATTACGAAATCAAAATCGTTACAAATTATTATTCTTCAATTATTTGAAACTTAATTTGGATCAACAAAATAATTGAAGCACAATTTTGTAACGATGTAAGTAATGATTTTATTAAATTTATTTCACACCAATTTTTCCTTCAGTGTAGTATTGTTATTATAATAATTTTCGATTTTCATGTAAAAAATAAATAAGACAACGTAGTAATAAAACGATCCCCGAATGGTCACAAAAAAGTGAAAATTATCTCTCTTTCAGTTATAAACAAATATTCATAGTCAGATCTTCTATTCAAGATCATCTAAGTGCAGTCTTAAGAAGTCACGAATCAGAAGGCTGTATTAACGTCTTAAGCATTACTTAAGACAGTCTTGAAATAAGAACGAACTATATGAATATCGTCCACAGACACAGATCTGAAAATAATTTTTGTTGGTCTATCAAAATAATTACGTAGAATCTTAATAATAATAAGCAATACTGCAACAAGTTTTGATATTTCAATTTCCAATTTGAGTATCCTATACAATTATTTTGATAGTCCAATAAAATTATTTTCAGATCTGTATCTAGCTAAATTTTTAGATACTCCAACAAAACCGTTCGTTCTATGTGCTAAATAGGTTAATTAATTTTCAAAATTATAGAAGTATCAATCTAGAAAAAAAAATTCTGAATATGTGCCACACCAAACAGGCGTTTAGAAATTAATTCAACTATTGTTACTAACCAAAGGATCTCGAGGGATTGAGAGTCATTTAACTAAGGATACACTGAAAAAAAAAGATTGGTTGCTATAATAATTTAGATAATAAAATATGACATAACATTCTTACATGGTTGCAGTAATCAGTTTTTGTAGCAGCAAATTTTTAGTTGCAATAGCCTATCGAAATTATATACTGACATTGCAGATAGACTAACATAACTAAAAATTTGCTGCTACAACCAAAAACTAGTTGCTACAGCCATATAAAAATGCTATGCCAGATTTTACTATCTAAATTGTTGCGGCAATCAATCTTTTCTTTCAGAGTACCATTCCATTTGACGTTCGTTCGCGAGTATCATTTCATTCTTGTTATTTATCAAATGTTAAACAAGGACAAAATAATGTTCGCGAGCGTTGCGAACACCAAGTGAAACACAGCTTAAGAAAAAAAACTGTTTCAGCCTGCAAGCTCCGCGATTCATGATCAACATCATCCTCCTAGTCGTTAATTTCATCATAGACTCAAATCCATATTTTTTTCCGTGCCCGATTGCTATAAGAAACGGCCCAATTACACATTTATTGATTCGCGTTCGGTGTCTCTCGATTGCGTTAATTAATATTCGTCCTATCGTCAGTTGATACAATAAGGGTATAATTAGGATAAAATTAGATAAAAACACGTCCGACACGTTCGCAAAAGAAATAGTAACGGATACCGCCAATAATTGTACATTGGAAAAATTAATATATATATATATAATATATATATTCGTGCATTATACAATTTATCCGCTCCAATTTTATCTCTTTACCTCGCGCGATATCATTTCGTTAGGTACTATACGAAAAATATATCTGAAGCGTTCGGTTGTGGTAAATACGATCCTCGTTCGTTTAATTCAGTTCGTTTGTTACGTGAGATCGAGACGCGGATTGATTTCGTCGGTTTCGAGACGAGACCACATCGCTATTGGCAAACTACATAGCGACGTGTGTAGAATGCGTCCGCAGAACGTGAACGAGCTGCCTCACAATCAACGCTAATGAGCGTTTCCAGCGGAAAAGCGGTGCTCTTAAAAGTGGATTTAATTTATCGTTGGAGCTTCTCCTTACTCCCATCTCTTGTCTCGTTTTCCCTTCTCCTAGAAGATCTTATTTCCTACGAACGACGCTCCTCGAGTAAATTTGTCCAAATTTACCTACTGACATCTCTGCAAAACACAGCCCGACTAACGAGGAGAATCTCATCTCGGATGATTGTTTTATTCTTGACGTGAATAGAACATCTGTTACGACTAT